AGAAATGTGGAATGGGATACAATCTGGCAATCATGTTATGTTATCCCTTTCACAAATTAGCCAAGGTTTATACTAAAAATGGCTAGGGAGTTTTTCTGACCCTTGGATTTCCTGTCCTGGAGTCATGTGCCTCTTATGACTGGAAATTTTGTTTTAATTTCTAGCCTCAATTTTCTTATGAGCAGTTTAGATCAATTTACCCTCGAGTCAGCATTGCCAGTTGGCTGAATTGAATCTTCACCTTCTCTGACATTTACCTCTCTTGACAAAAAGCCATCATATCCCTCCCTGGTTTTATTAACTTAAATAAACCAATCCATTCTGTTCTCCTGACATAAATAGGCTCCCTGTTCCTCCTAGTACTCCACCTTCCATTATCGCAATTCGCATCTGTGTTCCTAGAAATGGAAACCTGTAAAGACTATATTCATGCTAGTGAACTAGGGCCAGGCCATGGTCTTGGGTACACGATCATACATACTATCGAAACGCTTATCGAAACAATTTTAGCCCATGCCATCTAGCATTCCTCCAGATAATGCACGGTCCAGGAGACAGCACAAGCCAGAGTCATTCCAGTGGATGCTTTTGGATGAATCCTGGACTTTTTGGGGGATGGGAGGTGGGGTGAGGGGGTGGAATGGAATTCAGGCTTATGAGCCTATTTTATTTACCAACAATAGGTGTAGCCACAGCATTCAAGACATTCATGAGACTTCATTAACATGCTATCAGTACCTCCACTGGAAGTACTTTGACTGATACATTTGATAATTGCATTTGCTGTTTTCACGGACACATTACACCACTTAACGATTACATCACATTAACAGGCCTTTTGCAGTCGACACCCCTAGAAGCTGCTTTTATCAGAGGCAAAGGACAAAGGGAGTAAATTCCCACAATTCACAGAGGTGAGAGGTGGGACAGGATGGAGAAACTAATCATTGTCAGGCTCTAAAGGGTACAAAGAGACACATCCAAAAATCAGCACATAGCTCCCAACTAACAAAGAGCCCAAGACACAAGATGAGGACTCCCAGTAGCCAGCGTCCCTGCCCTTCACCAGAAATCCTGGACAGATCACCTGTATCCCGGCATCTTGGTCCCTGCATGCTGGACAGACTGCCTGGATATACAGTATCCTGGTGCTTGTATGTGAAAATGTGAGAGTGCATGAGTAAAATCTGTATTGCTTAAAAGTAAATCACTTTCCCCTCCCATTTTCAGGGAGCAGGAGGAGTGCAAGGGAAGATGAGCTGGGAGCTGAGGGTGATCACGTACAGTCGGGACAGAGCCCTCATCCATAGGGCACCATCACCCCACACCTCAGCAAGGTGAGCAGGGCCAGGCTGGATCTGGTGACAGCCTAGAGACCATCAGAGGAATGCCAAGTGACAGGTCAGGTCAGGATCAATCACAGAACTCCAGTAACACATCAGCATGAGCAGAGGCTTACCTACAACATAGCTCAGGGCAGGATGGGGAACCCTGGCCTGAGCTGAAACGGGGCTCCAGGGCCCACGGGCAGAGGGTATAGGGTGGTCCCAGGGGAGGCCAGTCAGGGTCATCAAGGCCTACTGGCCTGCACTCAGGGCCTTGATACCCATAGGAACTTTCAGAGACTTGCTACATTATTGCAACATTATTTCCTACAGACCCAGGTGTTTCTGAAAACAGATTCACAACCCCTGTGAGCAACCTGTTCCAGAGCCTAAGCACGCTCATGGTAATGACAGTTTTTCTTTTGTTCAAATAAAAATTTCCCTCTTTACAGCCTGTAAGCGTTGCCTTTTGTCCTTTTGCTGTGCACCTTAGAGAAGAGTGTGTCTCAGTTTTTCCTAAACCCCTTTTAGACAGTGGAAAACTGCTGTTATATCCCCCATTAGCTGTCTCTTCTTTAGGCTAAATAGGTCCAGTTTTCCTTAGTTCCTTCCAGTTCCTTGTATGTCACGTGCTCCAGCTCCCTCACCAAGTGGTTGAGTGGTCCTCTGCAGCCTGTTGACATCTCTCTCATAGGAGGTAGGGCCCAACCTTTATAGAGTACTTAAGATGGGACCTCAGCAGCGATGAGTAGAGGGAAATAATCACTTCCTTCAACCTGCGGGGTACACTGCTACTAACAAAGCCCAGTGATGCGGTTGGTTTTCATTGCCATTATTATATTCTGCTGACTCATGTTCAATTCACTGCCAACAAACCTCCTAGGTCCTTTTCTGCAGAGATCGTACCTATCCAACCAGTGCCAATACTATGCTGGCGCATGAGGTTGTTCCATCCCAGGTGCAAAACTTGCCATTTGTCTTTGTTGAACTTCACGAGGTTTCTGTTGGCCCACATCTCCAGCCTATTAGGTCTCTCTGAATGATAGCGCTATCATCCAGCATAGGAACTATTCTCCCTAATTTGGTGTTGTCCACAAACTTGCTGAGGTTGCATTCTGTCTTACTATTCAGGTTGTTGATGTTTGGAAGTAGCAAGAACAGGGCTGCTACCTAAGGAAGGTCTGCTGCAAGCCAAGGTGATTCCAAGGCGGGCAGTGCCCTCATCAACAGGACACAGTCCCTCAGGGGCTGAACATGGCAGGCAGAGCCATGTGCTGGAAACAGAGCCATCAATAGCTCCCGACATGGCAAGTGAAGAACCAGGTCCAGAGTCTATGCAGGGAGCCCAGTCAGAAGGTACATCCAAGGGGTCCACCCAGGACCCAAGCTACAGCATAGGTCTGAGGCCCATGCAGCAGGCAGGGTCAGAGACAGGGCTGGATACCAGAACTCATATAACACAGCTCAGACTGGGACTGGAGGCCCAGTGCTGAACTGAAATGGAGCCCCCAGGCCTACAGGCGCAAGGTGCGGGTCGTAGGCGAGGCTGGTGAGGGCCAGTAAGGCCTATTGGTGCCCACAAGGCCCTGACAACGGATGAAGACATTTCACGGCATCAACTCCAGTATCAAAATACGAGGAACACTACTCGTAAACAGCTGCCAATTAGACTTCAAACTGCTGAGCTTTATCTTTTAAATCTGATTTTTCGCAAACCTTGGACTCCACCCATCCAGTTCACGTCTCCTCCATACAGCTACCTGGATATTGTTGTTTTCAACAAAAGCTTTGTTTAAGCTGAAGTGAAAGACATTCACTGTTTCTTCCTCATTTACAAAGCCAACCTTTTTGTATTAGAAGATAATTAGAAGCATTGGATATTGTTAGTAAATCCATGATAGCTTTCTCCATATTTTTCCCATGGACTCAGGTGAGGCCATCCAGCCTGTTAGTTCCCTGACCCTCCTTCTTTCCTTTCTTAAAGACAGGTATAATATTTGCCTCTTCCAGGCATAAAAGACCTTCACTAACCACCACGACCTTTCAAAGACGATAGCAACCTAACAATGACATTGGCCAGCTCCCTCAGCACTTTAGGAGGCACTCCATCTGATCCCATGGACTTGTGTGTCCATTTTACTGAAGTATATACTTATATACATACTTAAGTAAAGTGTACGTACACAAGTCCATGGGACCTATATCAGTCCTTCTCCACCATGGGTGTATATCTCTCCCCTAAATGCTGACACTGTCACAGAGACCAGGGAGGCCTTAGAGAGGGCTTAGAGCCCTTCTGACTTCCCCTAGGATCTTAAACTCTGCAATTTGATGGTCACTGCAGCCAAGGTTCCCATTGGCTATCACATTTCTGACCAGCTCTTCCTTGTGTGTGAGTAGCAGAGAGCCTTCCCAAGACAGTTTAGCCAGCATGTGAATGAAAAGATTGTCACTCAAGAAATCTTTTGCCACTGAGCTGCCCTCCTAGCAGATATTGGTGGAGTGATCAAAGTCCTCCTAAACCAAGAGACCAGAGTCTACGGTCAGAAGATCGAAGCTCTCTGAAGACTTCATCCATCACATTCCGCTGGTTGGTAGCAGACGCCTACCAGGTCTCTGCTCTGATCTTGATCCACCAGCTCTTGACAGGTCCACTGTCCACCCCCTGGTGGAGCTCTGTGCATTTGAACCCCTCCTTTACAATTCTCATCACAGAGTTTCACTAGGGATCTCCTGGACTCTGATTCTCAAGCGTCTGCACCAGTTTACCATAATCATCCTTTTGATCTGTTCTACGGCATGTCATTTGTCCCCACAAGAGTGACAATGAGAGGCGTCTCTACTGGTGGTCAAGCGTTCATCAGTCTCTGAATGTAAATCAAACTATATCCTGGTCAACCTTCAAGATTGTCATAGTGGTCAACAGGACTACAGCTTCCTTATGACCTTGGTGTATAAAGATCTCTAAATTCTTCTACTTAAACGTTTCCAGGTCCCTTCAGTTCATTCTAGATGTAGCTGTAACTTGCTTACAACATTATTAATAACCTATTCCTTCCATATAAAGCATTTATAAATGTAGTCTTCATATAAAGTACAATTCATTTATCTATGGATATTTGTTGTTTGGGGGATTATGTTATATAAATCTTTATTATTAACAGAATGCAATTACAGAATCCTAGAAGAATCATTTACGACTATAAAGACAGAGAAACCATGCCAACACTTTCAATAGGACTGGAAATTGTATCGTATAGCTATTATACTGTATATATAATGTATAGTTTTCCCTGGCTGAATAACACTTTGCTTCATTCTTTGTTTAATAGCTATTTTAACCTACCATATTGCTCTTTCTTCTATTATAATTCTGTGTAAATCATTTAGTCCACTTAAGTGGCCTAATTAATTGCTACTAGATCACAGAAGCAAATAGAGCCACAGCTATATACAACAGTCGAAATACCCAGGAGCAAATTCCAACAGATAGCCCTATATATTTGTACTGAGAAATATTGAAATGAACATTTTAAAATGTAGAGTAATCACAAAATGAATTGTGAAATGAAAGAAGTCACAGATGAAAAATGCATAGCCAAAGAAAAAGCTCATCCAGAGAGAAGGCTGCATTTCAGTTCCTAAAAGCAAAAGATTTTAAGACCTGATACTTACCTGATATGAAATAATATATTTCTACTAACTTCCAGTACTTGATTTAACGGCAGGCTGATTTAGGCCAACGGGTAATCTTGCCAAACATCCATAAATGTTACATAGTCTGTCTCAGAATCTTTGCTCCGAATTTTTTCCTAGGGCTTCAGGTTTGCCTACAAGAAAAAGTTACTTTGCATTAAGAACATTCATTATAATCATGTCATACTAATTAGGATGCTTCATCCATGCTCAAGCAAATAGCTGACTTCTGCTTCACTGTGAAGTATTGTTTCTAAAGAGAGAACGGAATATCTTCTGAATGACACACTCAACTTTGGGAAGAGGGATGATGCTCTCTTTTGCTCTGCTTTCCAATACGATGCATTGTGGGGCAGTTTCTACGAAGACCTGAAGGACACTTAACAGAAGCCCATTAGGTTGGAAGTCAATGTAATTCTGAGTATTTGTTTCCAGACATCCCTTTTAAGAATATAATTCAAACCTATAATCCCAATACAATTTTCCATGCTCTTTGGATGGAAGGGACAAAAGAGTCACCCACGTTTCAATGACAACATTTGGTACAGCTTGTGCTTCTCTTTCATGTCACCGGTGGATGACTACAGCTTTGCAATTCAGATACAACTGTTGGTTGTGGTTTTTAAAACAGCAGCTATGTCCTGTCGCTGTATTGAGACAGAAAATGACATTGGGAACGTCTGTTGGAACAGCTTCCTTCTATGCAAAACACTTTCCAGGCTTGCGAAAAATGCTGACTGGTACAGATACATTAAATACCATTAGCGTGTAGCTGTAATATAAGCCGAAGGAAAATGGGTACTTTCCCGGTGATCTGCACAAAGCCTACCTGAGAGGTTCAGCGGCAGGAGAACATAAAAGCTCCTTTGTCTTTGCTGAAACTTGTGGTTATTTCCATTTGAAAACTCAGTACTCTACATTGCTACTGGTAAATCATGATGAGATACAGACAGCTCACCTCTAACAAACCTTGTGATGAAGACAGGCGCTGTTAGTTAATAGGCATCAACACGTTGCAGGGGCTTACCATTCTCCAGGAAACTATTAATGGTTTTGCCACATCTTGGTGTACATCAGTATAAAGGTCACTAAATGGCTATTGACTGCCCACAGCTACTACTCTCAGCAAATGGCAGAATGCATAACTTGAAAAGCCTACAAGTTCACATCTGCCAAAGGATCCAACTAGTCGTCTTTGTCCATTTTAACTCAAAAGAGTTATGCCTACCAACATAGCATAACTCTGCTAAAAATAGAGTAGATAATTAAAGCGATAGTTCTGATATACAAAAAGAGCTTTGAGATCAACAAATGAAAAATATTATCAATTAACATCACTGGCGGTTGAGAAGTTAGATAAAAGGGAGGGAGTTAAAAACAAATTGCCTAACTAGAATACGACCAACAACACAAGCCTAACACTCATTGTGAATTCTAAAACTAATACAATCAATTACTACAGTACGACAAACTCCAGTTAACTTGTATTTTATATTCCAGATACGTACTAGCCTCAGAGCCACTTAAAGAAGGTATCATAATTCCTAAATGATTTAAATTATGTAGCCTTTCAAAAAGTTCTCTAGTCAGAGGAATATATGGTGGGTTGTAACGGGTAGGAAATATTGTAAATACTTGTGTACTGTATCTTGGGAATATATTCAGACATTATTAGTGACAGACATTTTTCATACACATCAGGATTATATGTCTTTCTGTTTCTATGAATCAGATAAAACGATGGTATAAACATTTTAATACCGAACTTTTCGCAAGGCAAATATTACATCAATACCCTCATGCTGAAAAAGATCTGATGTACATACAAAGCACTGCACTTTCATTTCCACAAAATTTACATTAATATAAGACTGTTCACAACCACAATGCTGTAGAGCATCAGCACTCAAGGAACGTGTAAGGCTGATGTATTGGACTGAAAGTCTATTTAAAAATCAATGTTTATTTTGCATTCTGATGTTTGACTTCAGCCTCTTCCCTCCCTACAGAGCACTCTGCTCCTTCTAAGGACCATCCACTAACAGTGAGTTTCCTCAGTTCACCCTTCCGATCAATTTTAGAAGTTAAAAATGACCAGAGATTATACCTAGGAGGTTGAGAGGAGAAAGGCTGAGATGTGTGGGAAGAGCATAATAGAAAAGGGGAGAAGAGAAAGACTGGAACTGAGCAGCAACTACATCTGAAATCTACAGGTCAAAGCAAGCAGTACTGGCGTTTGTTAGTTAAAATGAATACTTTTAAGACCTGCTACATAATAGAAACTTATTCTGATAAGCTGGAATTCAAAGAAAGATTTTTCTTCCAGAAAATGTATATTTAATTTTACTGGAACTAAAACGTGTTGGAAAAAGAAAGGGAGGAGGCTTTCAAAGTTTTCATCTTGAATAACAACAACCTTTTAAATCTTTACTACTGTAATACGGAGAGAAACATGCTCAGCAGAAGTTGGCTGGTACATAATTGAGTCACAAAGGCCAGCACAAGAATGCTGAGTCTATAGCTAATTTGAAATTCTTATGTTACCTCTCCTGAGCTGGGGAAAAAAAAAATCTATTTATTCTAAGAAACAAAATCAGATTCTGAAACAACACTGACAGCCATATTTACTTGTAGTGGTTGTGCTGCGTGATTTATTGTGTCAGATCTTACCAACATTCCACCTATCTAGTTTTAGCAAACATCAAGAACTGAATTTCCATTATCACTTCACAACGGTAGACTTTTTTGCCTCAGTTTTATCTCCTCGTGTTTCCCGAACAAAATAAAGTGGAAATAAACATTTCTGACTGGCTATGTAGAGAATTCCCAGTAAATATAAAAATTTCTACCTATATCTACTGGCACGTAGGATGTATTGTGAACCAAAAGCGCAGAAATGGCAAGAATGGAGTGTTTTTAATTATTCCCATTTAGCATGTACCACAATTAAAACTGCCGATACCGAAAATAGGCAAAAATTCAGGGAGCCACAGATTGTATGCACAGCACTAGTTCAGTTCCACTGTGCCTAAGAAAGGTGATGCGGCTAGAGAAACTGCTCTGTTAAACAACTGTATTCTGCTCAAAGCCTGAGTGAAACAGAATGAGGTGAGCGCCCTTTACTCTCATAGGGATCATACACCCAGGGAATTAGGAATGGTACAGATTATATCTGATCACTTTGAAGCTTGGTATCTAATGAACTTCATTTTTGTGTCCATTTGACTACAAATTCTGAGACATAAATTAACTCATTTTTAAAAATATTGTCACGATTTCTCAAATTATGCCTGATGACCAAACTTACTGTCCATTTTATTTACCGTCTTCGAATATCAGATCTGTGGCAGGAGAAATTGTTACTACTAACTGGAATTCCTCAGAAGCTTGAGGGAAAGCCTTCTTTAATTGAAGAAAGTCTAACATACAAGCTGTATGTTAAATGATAAGCTGTACAAGCATGAATGTTTGTCTTATAACGTTCAGAATAGATATCAAGCTGTTTTAGTGGTGACACTGAACGACAGTTTCACAAACCATCACACCTATGGGATCATCTGAAGGCAGCTGTGGCTTGAAGTTGAAAACTTCTGGCCATATGCACTTGAAGTAGCAGCTCTCTCCAAGCATCCCCCACTCTTCTGTACAGTTGTAGTAGCGGCGACTTGCCTTCAGCAGAGGCTGAAACTGTCCCTCAGACTAGGTCAGAAACATTGGACAAATTCTGGATTACCTGACTTGAAATGTTGAGTTTTCAAGAGTATGTAGGTTCTAATTAAATTACAAGTTATAGACATTTTTCTTACAGTTCTTGTGACAAAAGTAGGACTTTCACTATCCTGATTTTCCTCTTTGATGGCTCACAAAAGCAATTTATCTGGCAACCTCACTGACAGTACTTTGCAGCGACTGAGCAAAATGGGAGATGGGAGTCTGACTTAAGAGTGGAGAAACTTTCATGTTCATCAGGGAAAAATGATTACTTCAGTTATTTAAAAAGGAATTACATGTTGTCCTCTCTCCTAGGAGAAAGTTACGTATACGAACTAAGCCGTTCTGCGCTTGAAAACTATGGGTGTCGCCTGATAGGTACACTTGATGGAAGCTGGAAATGAAAATAGGCTTTTTGCCTCAGTTTCTTTCTAAATGTCATCGCATAATGTGATTTGCTATACACCAGCAGAAGTGTACGGAATCAGTTTGCTTTTTTAAGTACCATCTGGAATGCAAGTGGCTGAGCAGAGCTAGAGGAGAAATTCAGTAAAGAATTGGGTGCAGCATACAAATCAAATAGTATGCTTCTTTTCTTGTGGTACCTGTATTTAGAAAAAAAAAATGAGGTGAGAAGATGGGTTACACTGTCCATCAAAGGTCAGGACATTCAAAGCACTTTTCAATCTAAGTGAAAAGAAAACTGTAAATGAACATTAGTAATGGAGAAAATACCTTTTTTTAAAGAATTGATATTCATGAGAATCAAAGTACACAATTGTACTGTTGAAAAGTATTTGATTTTAGCATGAACATTTGAAGATGTGCAATAATTGATTAATAATGCAGAGATGTGATTTATATTCTTTAAAACTGATAGGTCAGTGGATGGAATTTAAAAGTACCTAAGTTTCAATACACTGTATTTTGGTCTTCCTTGTTTCCTGCATTATAAATGTTTTCATCTTTAGCAGAGTATCTAAAAATTACGTTGATATTTAAATAATTGACTTGGTCATGAGAGGCATTCATCTCCAGAGTAAAAACTAAACATTTTCGTATCAGGAATTAACCTCAGTTTTGGACCATGCAAAGGAACTGTCTTGCTATTAATTTTGACAGAGGGAAGCACTCTTGTGAGATGAAGCAGAAAAGCACCTATCAAACACCTTGCCAAAAACAAGCCATACAGAATTAGACTGAAATAATTTTGTAATATGAACAAGAATAAACTAGAGGACAAGACTGCAGTGAGCTTCACGGTAGTCGCATACAGCCGTAAGAAACAGACGTGATAACAATTCAAATCCTTTAGATTTAAATTGCACTAAATTTAGATCATAAACTGTCTGGGATTTGCATATACTTACTACTTTGAAGTATGTGTTGACACTTTTAAACTCTAATAATAACTAAGTATAGAAAGACTGGAAACTAAACTTTGGGAGAATTGCAAACATCTGATTACAAAGAGTCACCTGGAAAGGACTGGACCTATGTGGTAGCTTTGTGATTTTATTTAGAGTATTACCAAGAAGCTAACTTTAAGACTTGGTTTCAAAAAAAGTATCTTTTATAGAGAAAAATATTTGCCCAAGCATAGCAGAATGGAGCATAAGGGAAAAAAAAAACCTGAGACTCATTTTTAATTACTTGTTGAAAAAAATGGACAATAATTATAGAAGTGTTAATGAAAATCTAAAAATTTATCATAACTTTTCCCAAGTTAATTTCTACTATCAGTCAAAGAAAATTTGATGTACTCTAGATAGGCAGCTACTACACACTGGCCAATAGCAGCGAGAAAAGCAATTGTGGCCAAGAGCCACTTAATATTCAATGTCTGCTGAGAAAGAACTTCTTATTAAAATACATGGAACTCCGAAATAAGTAGTCAGCATTGCTTAAGCCAAGGCAAGGGTATGCTAATGCTATAGACTTTTCAGTAACAATGTGGGTTGGCGTATGAAGAGTCTAGATTTCCGACCCACACGATTGTGCTTGAAGAAGCCTAGTTATAGACACATTTAACGAGAAAAAATGTGATTTTAACAGTATAGCTCCCCCCCCCCCCCCCCCCCCACGAAGCGTGTTTCTAAAACACACAGAAA